TTCTTATAGCAATACATTGCTTTTCAGCTCAACATATTTCTACCGCTCGTGAATATATTATATATGCACTTTCCACCCCCACATGTGAAGCCGAAGAGTTGATTTCTCCTAGCTGGATGTAATTCTTATGCATAACGTGACTGTTTTCCAAGCTGTAGTGAAAATATTGCCTGGGCAGTTTTTTTGTAAAATAATACAGGATAGGCACTCTAAACTAAAATGAGGCTTATTTGTAGTGCACTAGTTCTTTCTATCTCAACAGCCAATATTAGAGTCTTTACCTTGACCAGGAGAACTCAGGCAGGTTCACAAAAACTGTTACTGTTTAGCCATGTAGCCTTGTAGGAAGGTGGTCACTAGAGGGAGTGGCTTTGAATAATTTGATGTTAGCGAAAAGAAACAGAACATAGCCTACTAAAGGATAACACTTAACTTGAATCACTATCAGATGTTCTTCTAAATTTTATTAAGATCATTGATATCTGCATATAGGAATGTTGTTGTAACTTCTGAATTTCTTGTTATTGTAATTCATAGTTTCCCCACAGGGATAAGGAAAAGTTTTGAGTGGAAGAAACCTGTCTCAGTGGCTGAGTAGATTCTATATTTCTCAATTGCATTACTGTTTTGTCATTGTATGAATATTCAGTTGTTTTTTTCTAAACTAGGTAACGTTTTGTAACAAGTTTATGGTTGCTTGATTCCTTACTATATATATAAAGCTTTCATCTCTTTAATTCTAATAGTTTTTATTTTTGGAGACGGTTTAATCAGACGTCTCTGTGTTAGGGATACTTTTTCCTACGTTAAGGGGATGATTGTCAGGTTTTCTGATGTGGTTTGCTCCCTCTTTCCTATCAAATAGCTATTTTCCTTAAATATCTTCTCCTTCACTTCTTTGTATTAATCTCTAAAACACAACTAATCTTCGGTATTTAAATGATTTATTTGTGTTGCAAGTGCCGTAAAACTCTTGCTAAAACAAAAATTCCTGGGTGGTTGGCGGGTGCTCTGGTGTGGTTTGCTCCTTTTTTCCTATAAAAAAATCTATCGTCTTTATCTCCCCTCCTTCTTTTTTGTGTTTGTTCCTCTCTTGTAACACCTCTAATCTTCGGCACTTGTATGACCTTATTGTGTTGCAAGTGCTGTAAAACTTACAAAAAACCCCCAAAATCCTACATCTGATTACCTTTGTGCTCTGCCCAGGTGTTCATCTACTACTGCGTGTACGTGGTGTTGTTCATCATCGCTGCCATTGTGGCTGCTGTGAGGGCCCACCTGGCCACTTCTATTGGAGCCACTGCAGTAAGTTCAACTGTTGTCGTCTCACGTTTGTTCACACTTCACGGGTTCCACAACATGCTGCCTTTTTGTACAAAAATACTACTCAAGTTTGTTCAAAACCAGTGTGCCGGCCATGCTTGGTTTGTCCAAAAAATTGCAATATACATGGAAATTTACATAAAATTTGAAAAATTTCTGGATTGAAATGGGGTTGGGTTTTTTTTGGAAGGAATTTTTAAGAGTAAAGAGTATGGATGGATATATATTATCTCTGCCTATATTTTATAGCTGAGTTTTAAATTTAATGTTTTCTTTTATCGATGGATAGGCTTATTAATATAATGTGCTAAATATGATGAACTGCTCTACACAGATGAGCAAATAAAGTAGCAGGGTGATCAAACAAACAAAAAACTGTACCTTTTTTTTTCTCGTTAATATTTTCCTCCACACTGAAATTTTGCACTTTAAATTTGTACACAATATTTGGAAGTCAAAAGAAATTTGTCTGATATCCATTTTAGACAAATCCCCTGAATAGTTTTGCCCTACACAGTGCGTAAAAAAACAACCCATTTTCAGCTATGTCCCCATTTTTGTGGCATGACGCACCTGTTCGCATTAGGTAGGCCTTACACTTCAAGTCCCAACGATTGAGCCATATATGATATTACATATTACATACTACATACTACATACTACATACTACATACTACATACTACATACTACATACTACATATTACATACTACATACTACATACTACATACTACATACTACATACTACATACTACATACTACATACTACATACTACATATTACATATTACATACTACATACTACATACTACATACTACATACTACATATTACATACTACATACTACATATTACATACTACATACTACATACTACATATTACATACTACATACTACATACTACATACTACATACTACATACTACATACTACATATTACATATTACATACTACATATTACATACTACATACTACATATTACATACTACATACTACATACTACATATTACATACTACATACTACATACTACATACTACATACTACATATTACATATTACATACTACATACTACATATTACATATTACATACTACATACTACATACTACATACTACATACTACATACTACATATTACATACTACATATTACATACTACATACTACATACTACATACTACATACTACATACTACATATTACATATTACATACTACATACTACATACTACATATTACATACTACATACTACATACTACATACTACATATTACATACTACATACTACATACTACATATTACATACTACATACTACATATTACATACCACATACTACATATTACATATTACATACTACATACTACATATTACATACTACATACTACATACTACATATTACATACTACATACTACATACTACATACTACATACTACATATTACATACTACATACTACATATTACATATTACATATTACATACTACATACTACATATTACATACTACATACTACATACTACGTACTACGTACTACGTACTACGTACTACATACTACATACTACATACTACATACTACATACTACAGTAGTCTAACAGGCCAACGATTGAGCCATATTACATATTACATACTACATACTACATACTACATACTACATACTACATACTACATACTACAGTAGTCTAACAGGCCAACGATTGAGCCATATTACATATTACATACTACATACTACATACTACATACTACATATTACATACTACATACTACATACTACATACTACATACTACATATTACATACTACATACTACATACTACATACTACATACTACATACTACAGTAGTCTAACAGGCCAACGATTGAGCCATATTACATATTACATACTACATACTACATACTACATACTACATACTACATACTACATATTACATACTACATACTACATATTACATATTACATATTACATACTACATACTACATATTACATATTACATACTACATACTACATACTACATACTACATACTACATACTACATACTACATACTACAGTAGTCTGACAGGCAAAGAGAAGTTTGCGAATATTTTTTCTCAAGTTTCCTTTGCCTGCTGAGCTCATTGTTAAGATTAGTAAAGAGCAGAGAGCTTTTTGTATGGAACATTTCCTCACCACAACTCATTTCGTAAGTTTCGCACAAGGTACGGAAATAATGTTAAGGTGCCCTTAAGGCCTTCTTCGATGTCAAGGGTGGAAATGGTCCTTCAGTTAGTACCTGTAGAGAATCAGAACTAAAATTTCCCAGACTGAACGACCATTTCTGGTCAAACACACACTGTTCGCACCCTTTTAAATGTCACCAGAATGCAGAATTCAGTAGATTAGCCCCATGAGACGTCTGTCCGTAGATGATGTCTGCAGCAATAACTTTCCAACATCTCAACTGTCCGCGTTCTTAAGGCAGATCTTTATCTGGATGGGTAACAATATAAGGCAGATCTTTATCTACGACTGTACCATTTTCCTGTTTGAAAGCCAATGATAGAGTGTTCATGATTCGTCAATCGTCTTAAAAAGCATGAACTTTTCCTCTATGACATTTGGTTCCTTGGCAAAGCCCATATTCACCTTTCAGTCAGGTTATATCAACTCCACAAATGTTGTCTATTTGGGCAACCTCCCCCCCTCCCCCCGTTGTCTCTAGAAACAGCTCCATACTGTAAGGTGTACAGTGTGTGTGGCTTTGAGTACTCGTGGTTCAGTGGATCCTTGTGTTTGGCCACCACTGAACATTACAGACGACGCGTTAAAATGTGTCAAGTCCAAAGGAGGACATACCATTGGTTCTCGAAATTCCAGAATTTGAAAAATATTTTTTAACTTTGTAGGAGAAAAAAAATATTGTTTAAAGGTTACAGAAATGGAAAGATTAGATTTTAAAGATTAGAGGAAAGGAAAAGTCAAACCAATCATTTCAAGACTTTCCTTACAAGATCTTTTAAATTGGTGCATTTTGCATTTATAGGTGGTTTTTGTAAAAGCCTTTTCTGTTTTCAAAAATAAGTTTCTTCTTTGTGAATTTTTTGTCAAACAAATTCCTTTTCAATGAATTATATATATTCCAAATTACAACATTCTAGTACAAATTTGGGGGAGATATTTAGAAAAAAAGTTGTACAGTTTTTTGTGGATCACACCCTGTAGGTACTTGACAATAGTGGAGAGTCTGGAGTTCTCCCCATTTCTCGGCCTTACTCTTCAAATCTTTTTACTGACATACTTTTTTTTTCAACCGCAGACATATGGTATCCAGTCTTTTGCTCTAAACCCACTTTAACTTTATTATTTCTTGTAGTGTAACAATAAATAGCATGCACAGGCTTTGGTTTGTGTTGAGATTTTGTAGAATTACTTGATGGCCTTTTTTCTCACAAGATTTTTGTGGCATCATATTACTAGGAAGAACTAAATGTACTTTGAATAAATTGAGGTTTTTATGGAATTGCTTCATTGACTTCTGTTCTCACATGGTCTTTGCCCTGTCCTTTTGTGTTTCAGTTCTTCACGTTTGCAGCTCTGGCAGTGTACATCATCGACGTCTACTTCATGTACCGCTCCTGGCAGGCGTACCAGCACCCAAGCACTGCTGCTGGGGGTGCCAACACTACCACCACCACCACCACCACCACCTATGAAACCCGGACACAGTACTAAGCGGGGAGGACTAGGCTCGATAGGAACTAATTAATTTGTAATTTGTCACGGTCAAGCTTTCTCCATTTATACTGCATTTCTCCCTCTCTCTCTCTGTACGTAATAACCTCATTGTCTCATCCATGCAGTGCAGTTGAAAGGATACAGATGTTTGAGTGAATGACAGTTGACATGTATCATGTATGGTGAAAAACTTTCTGCTGTTGGATTTTTTGTATCACTTTAGATGACCCAACAGTTAAAACTGCTGTGCACAAACAAAGATTTACAATAAGTTTGATTAGCAATGTTTGTGGAACCACAAATGATAACATACTCATTATCAGTATACATTATACTGAGGATGGAAAACTAGTTTGAAAAGCTCTCAGATAACAAGAATTGGAACTAAGAATTTGTGCCTTGGCAAACAAATTAGTTTCTAGAAATAAACTGCCACAGAAATTAAAAGTGCTGAATATTATGTCAAATTTAAGATTTTAATAGTAGATGAATCACATTTACCCATAAACATATTTGCATAGATTTTTTGGCAGTATGTTCTGGTTCTAGCTGAGATTTGTTCAGGATACAGAAATTTAAATGTGGAATATAATTTTTTCCTCACAAATTCACATCTCAGATGTGATTATAACTGTACTCAAATAGTGCCCCTTTCATTTATGTCTGTATGATGAAATTTAAGAACATCTGATGTTAAAGCTTGAGAAAATCCAGCTAATGTGTTCTTGAGATGTTTGCGTTTCTTTCACAATTAGAAAAAGTTCTTAGAACAGGAGATAGGACTAGTCAGTGTTCCTTGTGTCATGTACTAATGTTCGTTGTAATTAGTGACAACATTTCCTGTGGTGTGTCTGTAAGTGTGAACTTTGTCCTCTGAATGTTCAGCTGTTCTCGTAGGGAGTAGAACTTCATGAGTATATTGATGACATAATTTATGTGGCGGGTACTTTGGTGTATTTGTTGGCTGTTGTGATTGGTGACTTTACCAGTCTGCTCTGTCTGCCTCCTTTGATGAACTGAGAGCTCTCTGTTTTTTCAGACAATAGCTTTCTGGATGCCGGACAGAACATTTTTTTCCCCTTCTTCTTTCATGACATTGAAGTCGGAAGTGACCGGTTGAATCTCTGTATAAGTAGGCCATGCATATCATTCAAATTGTTTCTTTGGTCAGACAAAATCTGACCGGCTCCAACAAAAGCTTTAATTTTATAGATTTTTAGGAAAACGAAAATTCTGGTAATTGTTTTAAGTTTGTAGAGGATATAATGATTTTTAGTCACATGTTGACTATCTACTTTGTTTTATCTGAATATCCCAAAGTCAATTATACCGGTACTGGCTTGCTTTTGCTTAAAATCTGTTTTTATGTATGCCGCTTGTGTATTCTGTTATTTCGCAGCTCTTTTCCTGGGAATCTCGTCACTTTTTAAAAGAACATACTGCTATAAATATGCATGAGATGTCTTACCTTGAGAATTCCACTGAAAAATTGAAAGCCAAATAGTTCAAAGTCACTATTAAAACATCTACAAGGTGAGTTCATCAAATAAATGTGTACATAAAAAAAGTCCATGTGTATGGAAGGAACGCAATTGACAGTGAGACATGAATGGGAACTTAATATAATGAAAAGCTCGTCAAGACCATTCCATTCATGTAATGCTCTTAGTTTTAGTTGCATTTTGAGGCATTTTGTCTAGGTAAATTTCCCCAAGTTGAGAATTTTATTCAGGTTCTTCTACTGTGTCATTTCATCACATACAGTTCTCGTGCATCTCTAAGGGGATTAAGTAAGGCATAGACATTGACAAAACACGGAGTTTGTAAGACTAAACACCTGATACAAAAGTGGGAAAGTTTTGCCCTCTGAATAAAGATAATCTTTTGTTTTCAAAGACCAACCCTATTGTTGCCATAAATGCACATGAAATTGTTGGTGAGAATAATCTTGGAAAAGATCAATTCAGAGATATCCTTTTAATGTCACAGAGCAAAAGAGAAGTAAAATTGGAAAGTAAAAATTCAAATTGACCGCTGAGAAGCACAAAAGATGTGATATTATTCTTATGGTTTGGTGAACTCTGACACGTAATCATTATTTCACTCACTGTTCCAGGAGCTTGGACTGTGATTTCATAGTGAACATTTTTCAATGGATGAACCAAGCTGACAATTTCAGCATGTCAAGAGAAAAAAAGAGAGTTGATGTTTTCTCTTTAGTTGCTGGTTGAAATCCTTTTATCAGTGTGATGGTTTCCACAAGGCAGCCAAATGCCAAGTTGTGTTCCCTTTGCTTAACGGTAACTTTTTGTTTGGAACAGACAAAACTTTCATCTTAATATTCAGAACTCTCGTGGATGGTGGAAGAATAAGCTTCTGAAAAAAGGTGCTATTTCCAATGTTGTATATTCTGCTTTTTAGTCTAGTCTCATGTACTCATCTTAATTTGATTTTACTTTGCGCTGAATTTTTATTGCGATAGTAATATCTCTCTAGTCTGAAACACATTGTTGTTGTTGCAGCTGATATAGATCTGACTTAATTGGAATTCCATAACTACTTGAACTTCTTTACTTTTAACTCTTGTTATGTTTGCAAAAAGCACTACTTTTACTTTTATTATTATATTATATACACACTCACTTATATGCCCAAGCAACTTCTTTTCTTTTATGTTTTGCCTTCATGCTTGCCCGGCAATGTTGTAAAGGCAGTGCTTGTACATTGCTGTGTTTTGGTGTTTAATCTTACCTGAATTATTATTCCCTAATATAACTAAACTGTCATGGCACAGCGTGAGATCGACAACAGCAATATTCCTGTGTAATTTTTAGCAAGTAGTTCTTTGTATAGCACAATCCATCACTTTCTATTGTACATCACATATGTCATACTTTTATTCATGATGCGTCTGTATAATTACTTAGATCTTAAATCCTATTTTTGTCGCTTGTCTTTTTCCCTATTACTTATTCACTAAGCCTGGGGAAAAGTGCCTGCTACCAAAAATTACTTAATACTGTCTTTGGATCAAATGCTTAAGAAATTCCTTAAATATTGTTTTTACATTTGAACTGGCATATCTGCTTACTGGTCATTGGTTGAATCTCTGCCATCAGGAGGAAGGTGGAAGATAGCCTCAGGATGTGCTGTGTTGCATTAGGTGAAAATATCAACAAAACATACCCTTTGTTACCGGGGCCCACTATCGAAATGGTTTTGCTTCCAGAGATGAATAATTTGAATTTAATGTGAACAAATTTGAACTTTTGAAGTTAGGAATTGTAAAGGTACAAGTACAAGATATCAAAGAGTTTTCTCAGAATGTTCATTTTGGCAATCAAGTGTTTCTTGCATAGGAAGCTGCAAAGTGTGTTTTTAAAAGGTATGTAACTCAAATTTACGCTCATATATTTAGTCAGCCTTATAGAATATAATGTCTCTAATACCCACTTTTATGACATTTGTCTCTGTTTTGAGTTATTGTAGAGCTTTCTGGAACTTTTTCCAGTATTTTACAGTTAATTAGTGGGAACTGGGAAACATCAACAAATACTTAAATTTTGTAGCCTACTCGTCTTAAGACTTTATTTTGAGGTAATCAGGTTGTTTTTTCAAAACATATTATAGTTTTTTTTTTCAGTGAGGATCATTCAGTGTATTGTATTCCTCTCTACTTCAAAATCCAAATCCTACTATGAGTGTATGAGTACGAGTGTACACTGTTCATAAGCCCTATGGTTTTGTGTGTATATGAAACCTCCGGTCTTTGCCTTTGTACCATACTTACTTCATAGTCAAAGTTGTTTATTTCTGTTTTGTTAATCTATTAAATCCATCTTGGGGTTGCTGCTGTGATTTTTTTTGTTTTGTTTCATTCTATTTCTTTTTGAGGACAAGGCTTGCTGATATTTCCGTTTTACAGATGTTATATTTAGCATTTCAGTGGCTCTTAATGAAGTGAACAGCGATTGTATGATATATGAGCTGAAGTGTTACTGTTGAATAGGTTAATACTAATAGTCTTCCTTGTTTCTGGTAGAGACATTGCTCTAAAGTACCCCATAAATTTGAAAAAATTCAGTGTGACTCGTGACACCACACCCCGCAAAGAAAAGCTTGTTACTGTATCCTGATCTTCACCAAATTTGATTTTGCCTGGGTTTGGGTTTTTTTAAATGGGAACTGACTGGGTTTGTTTGAGTTTGAGCTTGTGTCTCTGTTAAGACTTACCATCATTTCCACTTTTTTGTTCTTAATTTTTTTGTTACTTTTCTTGACACCAACATTCTCATTATTCTGTATGTACCCCTTGATCTCATCTGTGTTTTAGCTTTACATGTATGAGAGTGGGTGCAAGAGTCTGTGTTTAGTCAGGATTCCTATACAAGCAATATAATGTCACTGTATCGCTTTTTGTATTGTATGTATACATGTATCGCAAAGAAGATTGCTGCTGGGTAAAATTGTATACAGTGTGACTTAGAGGTAAATTCCTGAACTGTTTAGAGACTGAAAAGAACTTTATCATCATGTTGCTGTCACTATTCGCCTTATTGTGGTTTGGTTTTACTGTAATTTTTCTATCACTTTCATCACTCATATTTTAAGTGCAATAAGTTCTGTTTTGTGATTTCTAAATGTTGAGTTGAAATTTTTTATAGAAATGTGGTGCAGTTTACGAGATGTATCTCTAGAGTTAGATAACTCTCCGGAAATCCGAGCAGTCAAGATGGGAAAAGAAAACGGGTGAAGTTCTACCTACAAAAAAGTCCAAGTTCTTGTTAATGCTAAGTTTACATCTGTTTCCAAAGACTTTCATAGATCTTTACACATCTGTTACTTTAGTAAGAGAATGAAAGTGAAAAGACAAACAGGTTTGGAAGGTCTATATTGTATACAGTGCTTTTTGTACCAGTCTTTGAGTTAATTAGATCTAAGTAGATACTAATACTAGCTTCCCCACAGCAATGCTGCCCTTACTGACACTAGTGCAGAGGTCACAAGTGGTAAGCAGTGTCTCCTGTCTTTACCTTTGTTTTTCCTCTTTTGTTCTATTGATTTGTTTCATGTACAGTACATTCTCTTGATTTTATGTATTTTATTTGATCCATTTTTCTTGCAGTTGTGAATAGTTCTTTGTGGGTATTTTTTTCCTTGTTTCCATTGAGGTTTTATATTTCTACATGAAACACATCTCTTATGTAACAAACACAGCTGTGGTTGTTGTTTTTTTAATTGTGTGTGAGAAAATCTTTAGAAACCCTAACAACCTTTTATTTTTGGGTATGTTTCATTTGTTGGTCAGTTATTTTTTTTTAACCGATATTAACTGATACATTTAATCATACTATACAATAGAAAGCTGTGTATAATGAATACTTTCTGTCAATAAACAAACTTAAAAGGAATTCAAGAACTCTTTTTTCAATTGCTTTTTTCTTTGCTTTATTATGAGTCTCTAGTAGGGGTAGAGGTGGAGTTTGTGCACAATGCAGTCAATCGAACAATAAATTTTCAACTGCTGGTGAGGGAACTGTGGTCCATCATAACCTATAAGCCACGCCCACAACTCATGCACAAATCGTGTGTGAGGCGACAGGTCACTGTTCAGTTTACCTAATCCGTAGCAAAGTAGCAATGGACGTTGACGTGAACATGCGACAAAAGCATTGATAGTTCTCCGAGAGGTGGCGACCCGTGTGTTTGTTTTACCATGGCTCTCGGTCTTCATTGTCTTGCTTAACATTTCATTTATTTTACCCCTGCACAAAATCAGCAACAAAAAGAAAGCTAACTAAAAAACAAACCAACAAAACAGCAACAAAACCCTTCTAACACCCC